AGCGGCATACTGGGCGTGGATTTCAACGATACAACGCACGCGATCGACTTCGAGCTAATTTCCAGTGGCGGCAGTGCACGCGTCCAGCTAAAGCCGCCGGTGGGCGAACTGGTGCGTTCGGTGCAAATCGGCGAGAGTTGCCACCGGGAGGAGCGTGCCAAGCTGCGCGGCATGAACGAGCACCAGTGCGAGCTGCGCGGCATGCAGCGTGACCAAATCGATCTGTTGGCCCTCAAGCAAAAGGTATACGAATGCCTCAATGTGGCGCACACATACAGCTCGCCGGCGGAGCAGCTGCATTGCTTTGCGGGGCAAACCTTGAGCTCCAAGAGTCTGGTGCTGCTCACGCTGCAATGGCAAACGGATGACGCGCTCACCCTGCTGGTCAACTGCGAGAAGATGGTCATTGGCTCCATGGTGCTCAACGAGCTGCGCAACGCTCTCCAGCTGAGCTTTGCCATGTAAGAGTTGGACTATATATATATATATATATATATATGTGTGTGTGTGTGTGTGTGTATAGATATATATGTATGTAATCCAGCCAGATTAATCAGTTGAAATTATTGTTAATTGAACAAATGATGCATCCTTACATGCTAAGGCCCAGTCCAAATGCTACATAGAACAAAGCCGCAGCATTACGTATATAGCAAATAACAGATTACACAATATATATATACATATATATATATATATATATACACTAGGTTATACGAAATTCCAAACAGCTGAAATGAAGTAAAAGCTAAGCAAAGAAAATAACAAAAGAAAACTTAAAGAAAAACTTGACAATTTTGTTGCATGTGTGCGCGCGCGAGTCTCTCTGTGTGTGTGTGTGTGTGTATGTGTTTGTCAATATCTATGCATATATCTTGTATTCGTACTATTAAGTCATATATATTTATATATATATATATAAATATGTGTAACTATGTGTGCGTGTGTATGTGTGTGTTTTTGATGTTGTAACTCTGTTGCCTTTGTGTGCTCTATGCGGCCTTTTTCAAACTCTCTAACAGAACTATATATATATATATAGATATATATATATATATATAAACCATATCTAACTGATGTTTAGCAGCAAAAACTAATTGTTAACGGAAATTGTTGCCTAATTAACTCGCATGACGAGAGCGATGACAAATTGAAAGCTACTTTATCTTCTATATATATATATATATATATATATAATTTTCTCCTTTTTTTTTATATGCATGTATACTATATATGTCAAGATATCTCTCTGATATTTTATACGTATATGCTTGTGCACATTGCCTTTAAGCCAAAAAAAAAAAAAAAAAACAAAAGAAATGCTAAAGCTTGCTATATATTTTTTTGTTCCTTTTATTATATTTATTATTATTTTTTGCAACGTGAAAATTAACAGTTTATTGTAACTATTTAAAGGGGAGCCTAGCTCCGAGAGTTAAAAACAAATTTTACACCGGCAGGCACCTGTTGAGAATTATAATCCATCTATTCTAAATAATTAGATGCTAAAGTAAAACCGTTTCCTACGCCAACTTTTTCAGCTCCCCCCATTTTACTGCATTTCTACTAAAATTTAACTAAAAGCAAAAAAACAAAAAAAAAAAAAATAACAATTAAAAATGAGAGAAACTGAAAACAAAAAACGTAACGATTTTTCGAAGCATTTTTGTTTTAGTTTCCATCCTTTTCGGCTTTTTAAAGAGAACTCGTGAATACTTAGCAATCGAATGTTGAAACTTTACATCTTTTTTATAAATCAAAAACGATTCGTGTTTCCCATCTCATGCGCATGTTAACGTTAATGAACAATAAAATATATATATTTGTCTATATGCCATGCGCAATTATTGTTAAAAGAAAAATGAAAATCCAATTATAAATCATATTATTATATTGTATGCTTAAACCTACGCAAAATGAACAAACATCTATTGAAAATAAACGCTATGTTTAAAAAAAAAAAAAAAAGAACGGGCTTATAGAAAATGTGCGAGAGATCAAGATTATTTGCCCTCCTTATCCAATTCATGTCTTTAGCTGTAACTGAATCAATATTATATTATTTTAAGCTTCAATTCAACATATTTCAACTGATAGTACTGTAAAGTAAGGAACGCTCGATGGATCTCGGGGACTACAAGACTTGGAGGCTTCAAATCACAAAACAACTCAATCGTTGCAGTTCGATATATAATCGATAAATATCGGATTTTCAGACCTGGTTTTCTAAGCATACCTCGAAAATTATAAGAGCTAGGTAAACTAAGAAAGGAAAAACAGGCTCTTGAATCTGTTCGTTTCTTTCTTTGGCGAACACAAAAACCACAGTGGAGCCCCCATAAGTAAAACATTAATTACAATTTTTTAAGTTTTTTTTTTCCCCGTTTTTTTTTTAAGGGACTTGGGACTTACTTTTGAAGATCGACAGTAGGAACCAGCAAGCAGTTCAGTTCCTGCAGAATCGGAGTGTCGCATTCTACGTTTTCGGCTGGAACACTTTATCCAAAGTTGTTCGTATGACTTGGAAATCGCTGCTGATGGAAAACTTGTGGAGTTTTGTGGTTTTTAGTTGTTTTTTTGTATTTGTTTTGCTTGGATTTGCACAATTAAAAAGCTCAATTTCATGCTTATAATATAAACCATTAAGTTTTAGTTAAGTTAGGTTAGTTTTTGCACAGCTGCACTTAAAAATTGTTTAGGTTAGGTTTAGGACATTTTTGTGGTTAAGTTTAACGTTTCAAATCGCAAGTTTCGAGATGAAGAGCGAGAGAGAGCGAGATAGAGCGAAAGAGAGCTGGCGAGCGAGCGTTGGCGTGATTCATAAATGAACTGCTTGCTTGGTTGAGAAGTGAGCGAGAGCGAGAGAAATATAGAGATAGAGCGAGCGTGCGTGCTTTGAAGTGACTGTTAAATGAACCGCTTGCTTGAACTGCGACCACAGCTTAAACTGCTTTGCGGCATCAAGCAGTTGAGAATACCGTTAGAGATTTAAATTTTAATATTTATTTGTTTTTTTTTTTCTTTTTCTTTTGGTTTTTCTTTTGTATTTGGATAGTATGGGTTATATAATTAGGTATGTTAGTATGTTTTTGGCTTTGAATGAGCAATGCATATGTAGACTTTATGTATTTGTATACGTGTACAGGATATAGGGTATTGGGTATAGGTAGGCATATGAGCATGATAGCGTTAAATGTTTAGTTTGACAGACATTGCGTTGTTTCTTTATAGTATTCGTTAAATGATTTTTCGTTCATTTTCATATAATCATAGTATAATATAATCCGGACACGGCTTTCATTTTTTTCTTTTTCTTCTTCTTCCGTTCTTGACTTAATTTCATATAAAACTAGTTCCGTTTTTTATGTATATATATTTATGTATGTATATGCAGGTATTTTTATATATTTTTGTATATATATATATATATATATATATATATGTATATATACATATCTAGCTGTATATATGTATTGTTTTATATATTTATGTATGTCTAGGGATGATTTTCAATCACTTATTGTTACTTACGGTGTTCGGTATAATATGCTTTGCTTGGACTGACGGACGCTTTCTCTTGTGTTCATGAAAGCCTGTCTCTTTTAAGCGATTTTAGTTAAATAACATGTAAAGCATATTGTATGTGTGTGTCTCTGTGGTGTGTGTTTGTGTGTGTGTGTGCAACAGCTAGCATTAAGTCCCAAGACGGAACATGCATCTCCTCATAACGCTCTCAATCTACAAAACGGACGGAGTGATAAATGAACTAACCTCACTTTTAATAAATGAACTAACCTCACTTTTGTTAACATTCGTTTCGACAAGTGATGACAGAGAGAGCGAGACGCACAGAAAGAGCGAGAGAGAGAGAGGAGCTGCTTTTTGAAGCTTTTGTGCATGTGTCTGTTTGGGTATGTGTGATGCATTTTTGAAACTCTCCAGACTCGTTTTTCCCATGTTCCTGTCAAAGTTGGCGACTATTTGAACATGTTGTTAAACTGAGTTAAAACTATTTAAATCAATTTATCTGCCAGTTAAATATTTAGTATGAAAATAGAATTGCATTCACAATATCTGTAAATCTACCAAATGAAATGTTGCCAGCTTATTCAAATGGCGTTGCCACTGTTGCGCAAAACGTAAGCATTTCGCGTGCGAAAATTTTTAACTGCTTGTCAACTAACTGCAACTTTGACAGGCGCATCAGAAAACGAAACGTGCCTTCGATAAGTGCGAACACTCTTTTAATCTTTGTTAGCCTTTGTTTTTGTTGCTGTTGTTTGATTTTTGATTTGCTTTTTGACATATCATAGATAAGTAGAACCTAAACACAGTGTTAAGCTAACGTTAGGGTATATTTGTATATATTATGCATGTGTGTGTGTGTGTGTGTTGTATACACTGATGGTCAAAATAATGTGTAAATTATCATAACTTACTTTTAGATGCATATATTTGAAATTTTTTGAAAATATGTTCGAGTTTTCACTTTTATTTTCATTGTGTGCACAACATTAAGCTAAACGGAACAAAAAACATAGTCCGAACTAAAGGAAATATTTAATATCATTCAAAATGTGAAACAAGATAAATAAACAAAAATGCTTGGACAAAACAATAAGTTGAAAATCTGAATAATATTAGAGTAGGTCAAGATTAGCCTTTTAGTTTTATCCAAGCATTTTCAGCTATTTTCTGTGTCTTGTTTCTTTTCCGTTCTAGCTAGGTTAGCTGCTCTGTTGGGCATTATGTTGAAAACACAGGGCAAATAAAAAGGAAACCTCGAACATATAAACAAAAGAATTTGAAATATATGCATATGAAAGGAAGTTGTGCTAGTGTGCACATTATTTTGACCACGAGTGTAGAATGCGCGCGTGTGCGTGTCGATTAATGCAGTTTTTGATTACGCCATTATTATTCAGTTGTATATATATATATATATATATATATAATGCAATATGTACGCATGTATATGTGTGCGATACTGTGTGTGTGTGTGTGTGTGTGTGTGTGTGTGCGTGTGTGTGTGTATACGTATATTGAAAACCACGTAGACATATACATATGCATGCGCGCAGTTGTAGTAGTTGCATCTGTTACAGTTGCTCTTGTAGTTGTTATCCTTGCTATCTGTGTTATCCTTGCAGCTCGGGCTGCCACATCCTCACCTCTCCTCAACACTCCTCTACCCTCCTCTCCGCGTGGCTTAACTTTAGTTTAGTGACTAAGGCCGGCAAATCCTTGTGTGCGTGCTTAAAGTTTCTTATACCAATATAGATAGTGCTCCCCATCCTCGACCATTAGCTCATCCACACCTGTCAAAATATGAATTAAAGTTAAATTCTTGGAATACATTGGAAACACTTTCGGTTGACTGACCAACAGGCGCAATAAGCTGATTCCCAGGCGTATTGTTCGGATCGGGCAACTCGGGCAGCCTGTAGAGCAGCCAGTAATGATATCTGTGTGATGGGCGAGAGGCAAAGGATTATCGGATTATTGGAACTGGCTTTGTGCCGGCTTACCCTCGCGGCTCCTCGTTCTTGCCGTAGAGCGTATGCACATAGTGTCCGTTGGGCCACTCGCGCGCCTCGAACATGAATCTGCACGCAAAGATCATAATTTAATAAGGTTATTTTCTTCTATTTTTTTCTTTTGCTTTGATGGATTTTGGCCCTCACCTGGGATCCATTTCGGCTGCCTGGGTCATGGCCTTGAAGAAGCTCGTGTTTTTGGGCGAGATCAGGGACAGCGAAAAGGCCTCGGTCACATTGGAGCCGACCCACAGTGTGTAGGTGTACGAGATGTTCTTGGTATCCGATTCCTCCGCCGAGGAGCTGAGTCCGAAGGGCAATGCCAGCTTTGGTTCGCCGTTCTCTGCATGGAAAGTGGGTTAGCATGCGATTTGGCAGGGACGGCAAGAATGTTACCTGTGGGATCGCTGCTCTCGCGTATGACATGGTCGCACTGGAGGGCGCGCACGGCGCCGAGACCCTTCCAGCCGAGTGCCAGAATGATGTCGGCGGTGAGGCCAACGCCAATGTCCGGCTCCTGGCCATCCTGCAGCGGCTCCTCGCTCCAGCCGCCGTCGGCACGCTGCCGGCTGAGTATGTAACGCGAGGCAGCCGTGCGATTCCAGTGACCAGCCGGATCATATTCCAGATCCTGCAGCGCCTGCATGGCCAACGCGGTGCTGCGCAGCGAACCAAAGCTGCCGCGCTGATCCTGTAGGCTGGCCAGGCCGCGTGCCGGTCGCCGCACAAAGTGCTGCAAATGCCGATGCCGATGATCGGTGACAATGCAGCGCAACGCCAGAATCACCATGGCAATGGCATCGACACTCTGATCCGTTACGCCGCTGGCGATGTCCAGCAGGCGGCGTATCTGGCGCTTGCGCACATGCGCCGCCGAGCTGCATGCGGATAGCGTGGTCAACGCGAACTCAATGTCCTGGGCGGGCTCATGGTGCTGCAGCGTAGCGACCAGATCGTGTCCGTGAAAGTGCTTGGGATCCTTGCACAGGGAGCCCAGCGCCAGCACATAGCGGGCCAGCTTGTCCAGATTTAGCGGCTTGGGCAGCGTATGATGGCGATCCAGCATGGCCAGTATTTCGATTTCCATCTCCTTGACGGACAGTGTATCCTCCAGCTCCTGTATGACCAGCAGATGCCCGTCGGCGCTCTCGTTTGGATCCCGACCGCCCGATAGCTCCTTGGCCAGTATGACCACGTGCGTGTCATTGCCCCAGCCGTAGTCGGAGGCGCGCTTCTCCTTCAACCAGTCCAGTGCACGCAATATCGCCTCCTGCTCCCCCTTATTGGGCGTGGCCGAGCCAATTATCTCATGCGGCAGCGCTGCTGGCGCTGCGGTCGCTGGCGCTGGTGCTGCGGCAAAAGCGACCTCTGCTGCGCTGCTGCCACTAGCATTGGGCGGCAGAGCTGCAGCAGGCACGCCGACGCCGACGCCGACGCCAATGCTGGATGTAATCTCCTGCTGCTGTTGCTGCTGCTGCTCAATGGCCGCCAGAGTTGCTGCTGCGCTGCTTGTTGTTGTCGTCGTTGTTGTTGTTGTCGTTGTAGTAGCTGCTGCTGCTGCTGCTGCTGCTGGCGTCGCAGCTGCTGCATTGCTGCTGCTGTTGCTGTTGCTGTAGCTCTGCTCATAGCTGGCATCGTTGTTGCTGTTGTTGCTGTTGTTGTTGCTGTTGCTGCTGGCGGTCAAATTGTCATACTCATTGCCCAGCTGCGGCGCTGCTGTGCTCGAGCTGAAGCTGATTGGGCTGCCCAGAACGCCGGCATCGACAGCGGGCGGATACGCTAGCGTTGCGTTCTCAGTCAGCGTCAGCGCCGGCAGCAAGCTGAGCAGCAACAGCAGCGGCACCGAGTGCATCTTTCTTGTTGTTCTTGTTGTTGTTTTTATGATTATGCTGCTCAGTCAGCTTGAAGAGAGCTAGGATGAGCAGAGAAAGCAAAAGGCAAAAGTCAGTGGCTGGCAATCAAATAAATTGACCGGGATGGGGAAGGGGGGGGGGGGTAGAGATAGCACAGGCAATGGCAGCAATGGAGGCAATGGAGGCGTTGCCTTGAACTGAATTTGCTGCACACTGACAGGCACACACACACACACACATAGAAACACGTCAAGCGACTGCACATTACATTTTTGCTAACGTCATGCATTTATCGATAATTATAACCCAAGATCGATATGCCGCCCTACGCCCGCCCCTATATATGAGCTTGTGTGTGTGTGTGTGTGTCCTGCCCGCTATTAATTAGTCATCGAAAAACTATACAAAAAGTTGCCAAGCAGCACAGTGGACGACACACAAAGCAAACCGAATCCTGTGTGCAAAGAGTGCTGGGGGAGGGGGAGGGGGGGCATGGGCTTGGCTGACTTGAGCGATTTTCGCCTTTGGCACAATAAAAGTTAATTAAGTGGCAACAAAAGTGTTGTGCTGACGCTTACATAATAGTACAATAAATATATATATGTATGTATGTATGTATGTATGTAGCTAAAATTTGCTGCAATAGCGCAGCAGCAAAAATTCGTTTAATCTAATTAATGAGAAAAAGTAGCAGCAGCCAGCAATAATAACAAAAACAACAACAGCAGGGAGCAGCCGAAGCAGCCGGGAAGTTAGCAACACTGGCGCCTGCTGTTTGCACTTGCAAAGGACAGCAACACTGGCGCCTGCTGTTGTTGTTGCCGTTGCTGTTGCTGTCGCGTAATTAACTGCACTTTTTAAGCACTGGCTCGCGCGCTTGCCCACCCTTTCACACACACACACACACACACAGGCACACGCACGCGACACTTGCTCAACTGGAACTTTATTATGCTGCCTGCTGGATGACGCTGTCGTCTGATTTACCTACCTGCGACTTCTTGCTCTCTCTCTCACTTGCTCCCTCTTTTTTTTGTGCTCTGTGCTTGTATGTGTTTGTCGTCTATTATCCGTTATTACTATTGTTGTTGCTGCTGCGTTTTATAGCCTGTTGTCGTTGTCGTTGTCTTGTTACTACTGCTGCTGCTTCTGCTGCTGCTGCTGCTGGTGTCTATTGATTTTTTTGGCCAACCAGGCTCCACAACAGGACTAGGCGACTTGGCGACTTTTGTTTAACTGCGTTCAAATGATAGTTGTTGTGGCTGTAGTTGTGCCAGTAGCAGCTACAAGCACACACACACACACGCACACGCGCTTGCACACGCTCGCACACAATCAATAAATTATGAATGACTAATTTTTTTTGTTATTGGCCTTTGTGAATTTTTGATATTTTCTTTTTATGTAACCGCGCGCACACAGGACAGTAGAATATATATATATATAAGTATATGTATATGTTTGTTAACAGTTGCTCTGCTCTATAGTTGCTAATAACGTTGTGAAGTAACAGGACTTTGTGCTGCTTGCTGTTAATTGTCTGCCTGCAGACACACAGACACACACACGCGCGCAGACACACGCACTCACGCACACACTGACTCACACAGCTGTTTGCTGCAAAAGTAACGGAACGGAAGCTGCGGTAACTCTGCGGCTCTAATTGGTGATGTGCGGGGCAGAGGGGGAGTGGGCGCTGTTTAACAACTGTTGTTGTTGTTGCTGCTGCAGTTGCTGTTATTATTGTTGTAGCTAGTCGCTGACATTGCTGCTTTGTTGTTGCTGCTCTTTTGATATTATTGCTGCTGCTGCTGTTGTTGTTGTTCTTGTTGTTGTTGTTGCCTGCTCTGAGAGGCTGTGTGTTTAAACAAAGTTGTTGTGGCGGTTGCTGTCCGCTCTCGACTGACTGTATGTGGCTGGGCGCTGCACGCACGGCTAAAAAAAAAAAAAAAAAAAAAAAAACATGTCGGTGCGTGCGGTGCTGCCACTGGTCATAGCCCATGCGCAGGATATGCGCGCGATATGGCAGCATGCACATGAGCTGCAGCCGATCTTACAACCACATAGCCAAGTTGCAAGTAAGCGCAGCTTCAGGTGCATGTCCAGGCTGCTTTCGTTAAATTTTATTTAAGGTTTGTGCACTTGCACATCGGTTGCGTGTCCTTGCTAAGGAAGCACAAGGACAGGGCTGTTATGCAGCGCCAAATTTGAATTAATTTTCCTTTTTCTTTTTTTTTTTTGTGTCGCAATCAATGAGCTTTTTTGGCCTATGGCCAGCCTCTGCTTGCCATCAGCTTGCCTTTAGTCGCCGCGATGCCTGCTGCAACGCCTCTGCTCCCTCCCATCACAGTAATTTGATATAGTTATGTGTGTTGTCCGCCGACAAATCAAAAAAGAAACGTATATATATATATAATGAAATGCCGCCAAACCGCCGACATTGAGGCCAAATGGTCGCCGCCGTCGACTGTTTGTTGCTGTTTAGTTCCAGTTGCCAGGACACGGATTCAGATTCAGATACACACACACACACACACACACACAGAGAGAGAGAGAGAGAGAGAGAGATAGGGAGAGATTGCCTATCGTTGCTCGGCGAGCAATTAAAAGAACAAGCATCCATATCGCTTACCGCGACGGGAACATTGCCCAAAACTGAAATCTATATGGCCAGAGAGGCGGGCAGCTAAACAAAAGGCCAAGGGAAGTTGAAGTTGATGTTGAAGTTGATGTTGATGCTGATGCTGAAGCTGGGCCAGAGGATGAGGCCGATGATGAAGCTGCCTGCGGTCCTTTGTGCAGTTATGACAGGCGTCCCCCCGGCACACACACACACACACAAGGCGTTTGTCGGGCCAACTTCAAAGGGTCACATGAAGCTTTTGTGGCAGCGCCCGCTGATCCTTGCCAGCTGCCAGCTGCTCAACAGCTGATCGCCGGCGGCGGCACCTTGCGCCGCATCCTTACGCACAATTTGCGGCGACAATCGTGAAACAGATCGACAGTTGGACAGATCGACAACTCTTTTTTGGCTAAGACATCTAAGCCGGCTACTTAGCTTCTCAACTCGACGCTATCGGCAGCCAGATCCTGGTGCAGGACGCGCCAATTGTCGATTGTCTGTTTCCGCTTAGCTAGACAAAAGGATGCGCTCCCAGCGCACCTAGTCTATATTGCGCCGTGGGTGCGTCAGTTGTGCATCCTGTGAGAGGCCTTGTGGCATTGTGCCGGTTCCTTCTTAGCTGCGCAATATTTGGCAACCCAATTATGTGTTTTCTTTTCTTTCCTTCCAACTCTTGTTGTTGTTGTTGTTGTTGTTGTTTGCTTAGCCGGCGCTATTTATTCAAGCCTGGAGCGTCTGCCTGCCTGGACAATAGAGGCATACAGCCTTGAGCTATTATCCTGGCAGATAGTTCTCTGGCTCCCTGGGCTTAGCGCGATTTCACGTTTTGCATTCGCTTGGTTTTTTTTTCCCTTTTGCGTAATCGAAACAATTGCCTGTGTCTGTGTGTGTGTGTGTGCTGCTTAGGGCGCGGCAGATGATCAGCTCGAACTGATAAAAAAACACAACACACTCAACAGAACAATGCTGGAAACAAAACAAAACAAAACAAACCGAACCGAAATGAATCGAATCGAAACGAATTCGAAACAATCGGAAAAGTGCAACGAACTGCGTCCTGATTACGCTTACTATTCGTAAATCGGAATGGGCTTGGCGTGTGATTGATCAAGATGTACAACAAGTTACTGAGCAGAGGGAAGAGAAAACTTTGTGAAATGGGAATCATTTGGTCGGGCAAATATGATAATTCAGACAGTCAGTCAGTCAATCAGTCGGTCAATCAATGAGTTATTCAATCAATCGGTCGGAATGTGATTGATGAAAACTTCAACATGTTATTGAGACTGCGAAGAGAGAACTTTGGGCAATGCAAATAGTTGAGACTAAAAAATATATTTAAATATAGTTAATAAATATAGTCAATCAGTTAGTCAGTCATTCAATCTGTCAGGTGATTAATAAGGAAGATGCTTTTGAGAATGGGAAGAGAGAAATTATGGCATAGCAAATAGTTAAGTCTGAAAAATATTGCTTGCCAGTCAATCAGTCTCTCACATCAGTCATCAGTCAGTCAGTCGTTCAGTCAGTCATGTGATTGATAAAGCTGATCAATATCTTTTTAAGAATGGACAGCGAGAGCACTTTAGTCAATGAAAGTTGTTTCCTCTAAATAAATACGGTTGGTCAGCCAGCTTGTTAATCAGTCAGTCAATCAGTCAGTTAGTCAGTCAATCGGCCACTTGATCATTCAGTCATGTGATTGATAAGATGCTGAACAAGCTGTATGAATGTACAGAAATTTCGAATATGCGAATCATTTGGCCTGAAACATACAGCTATTCCGTCAGTCCGTCAATCCGTCAATCACTCAATAAGTTAGTCAGCCAATCAATCTGTATGAAAGTTATAAGGCGTAAAGGGCATACAATATGTATATGAAATATATCTGTGAGCCAGAACTTTTGAACGTAACGCCCAAAACTTGCCTTGAGCTTGCAATCTTGTAGGCTCTTGTTGGATTGTCTTCTGCTCGGCTTCAACTCTCTCGTTAGAGACCTCTCCACAGGTCCTTGGTCAAAACTATTTATTGCCGAAACCCCGATGCGGATCTATCGATTTCGTCCGACAGGTGCTGTTGGCTCGTGTGTGGCTTAAACGGAAAGAGGATAACGCTGGCAATATTTTCATTTATATTATTTTTATTTAATTTCTCTTCTTTTTTTTTGTTTTGGGTACAATATTAAAAAGAAAGTGAACTGAAGTGAAGGGGCGCAAACGACGAGCAAACGGCAAATGGCCGCAAATCAACAAACACGAAGGCAAACAAACAAATAAAGAAACGGGCAAATAAACAGACAGACAACAAAATGGGTGAGGTGTGGTGGGTGGGGTGGCAACGTGGGGGGGTTGAGGTGGACAAGTGGAGCCGGACCGAATGGTAGGAGGTGGAGGGCGACATGTGTCAGGCAAGTATATAGGCGCCTTACATAAGCTACCATCACACGCTCTCTCTCTCCCTCTCTCTCTCTGTCTCTCTCTGTCTCTCTCTGTCTGTCTGTCTTTCTCTCACTGTCTCGCTTGGAACTAAAAAAAAATCAAAAGGCTCACAGGCTGCAAGGACAACAACGCAGACAGCGCAAAGTGCGCACAACACCTAAAAGCACAGGCCGTAGGACACAGGACAGAAGCAGACGGTGGACAGACGCGGGCAGGCAGGGTTGGGAGTCGGGCGAGCTAACTATGCCAGGACACAAGCCAAAGGACGCGCCAGTGAGTGGTGCCAAATGCTCGGTCCATGGTCCTTGGTCCTTGGTCGCAGCTCCAAAAGCCCCAGCCCCAAAGTGAACTGAAGCCAAATGAAGCAACGTTGACGACGAGCACAACGTGGCTGCGGATGCGGATGAGTACGACTCCGACACAGACACAAGGGTAGCTGCAGGCCTCAACCCCCGAAATGCCGCCCAGCTCAGCCCCATATATATGTACGCCGGAGGTGGGCAGGCAGGCTGGCTGGCAGGAGGGTTGCTCGCCGGGTTGGCTGGCACATAAGGGCGGGTTCCCTTGCTGGCGATGAAAGGCAAGTAAAGCGCTATAAGAGCAAATATGGCTGCCAACACCCGAATCCGACACGTAAAGTGACGCGTTAGCTGCGTTGCTATGACAACCCTGGCCAGGACTCGCCAGGACTCGATGGGACTCGCGCTCCGCGTGCTCGCACAAAACTTTTGGCGCCCATTTTTTGCCTTGCCTTGCCATTCCTTTTTCCTATCAATTTTTTGCAGGCTTTTCCTTTTATTTTCACATTTTTTGTCTGGGTTTTCTGCGGGAATTTGTCGTCCGTTCGTAAATAAAGTTGTCGGGCGGCCCAAGGTATCTATCTATCGGTCAGCTGGAGTGGATACACGGGACGGGCGGGGTCCATCATTGGCTTGCATTTAATGAGATTTTTTCTCGTTTTCTATTTTTTTTCTTTCAGCTCTTTTTTTTTTTTTTTTTGTGTATTTTCCTTTGGGGCTTGCTGTGCTTCCTACAATTTATTTGCGGACCGTCAGCCGCTTTTTAAAGCTCAGCCAATGCTGTGACAGGTGAACGCCGATAAGGGACTCCAAATGGAGAGTGGTTGGCGCCGAGCTTAAACTGAGACGCGAATTCACTTTGAACTTGGATTTGCTTTGTGCAGTGCGACTTTTGAGAATTGCATAGAAAGGCGTTCACTAAAAGCCTTATCCACACTGATTATTACATTACGCGCAACGCTTTGAACTTGATAAAAGGGTTTTTGTTTTTGCTAAGGGTTCATTTTAACATGAAGTTCGTATGGATAGTAAGAGATAGTTGGATGAAGGGGTACACAGAGATAAATAACATATGGAAATTAAGTCAAGTCCGTGAACATATTGAAAAATAGCTGCAAATATAAATCGATTGATTAATATACGATGACAGATTAGATAGAAGATAGATGTGTAGATAGATGGGTAAACAGGTGAAAAAGTAAATAGATAGATAGATGAATGGATGGATGAATAGATGGAAAGATATATAATTCGATAGATAGATAGATGTATAGAGATAGATAAAAGGATATATAGATTGATAGAGATATATGTATAGATAGATAGATGCTTAGCTGAATAGATGAATAGATGTTTAAAAATATAAATAGATAGATGGATAGATAGATGGATTGGTAAATAAATAGTCGACGGAA